CCCCCCACTGGGGATGTGCCCGCAGCCAAGGTACATGCCCTTGACCGGAATCGAACCCGGGACCCTTGAGTCCGTAGTCCGATGCTCTATCTACTGAGCCAAACCGGTTAGGGCTGATGATTCTCTTTCATCATTGATGTTTCCGTCTCTCTCTCCTTCGCTCTTCCTCTCTGAAAAAGCACCCAGGTGGGGAGTTAGCAAGTTAGCAAATGGGTGACTGAATGACTGCAATTTGGGCTGCGAGTGACCTGCCTCCAGGTGAAAACTGTCACTGGAGGTCAGAAAGGTATACGGAGAGCAGGGGCTCACCTGGCCAAAGAGGCCGCCTGAGGGAGATCTGACGAAAGGGGGTGTTCAGCAGGAGCGAACCATAGCGAGAGGTCCCTTAGTGCTGACACATAGTAGGCACTCAAATATTGTGAGAAGAATAAAGGAACAGCCAGGAGTAAGAAAACACAGGACACCCGACATGAAATAGTGGAATCCGGGCAGAACCAGGAGATGGTTGTTTTTGTTCCAGGAAATGTGGGGACCTACTTCCCAGCAGCCTCTTTCAACCTGAACATCCCTCACTGACCCTTAGCAAACTGTCCGCCCTGCAGAGAGGAGGCCGGGTGCGTGGGACTTAATGTGCAATCCCCGCCCCCGCAAAGGTCATGATTTAATGCGAACTCGGGCCTTTCCCATTCCATCTCAACCTCTGGAAGTTAAGAAATATATCATACCACCAAGTGGCTGACGTCACTCATTACACATCACTTCCTTTCCCCCTCTCAGGACCCCCCCCCCCCCCGCAGACGAGTGGGCTTGGCCCGTGAGACCTTGTTAAAAAGTTTGCTTAGAAAGGCTGGCTGCTTCCTGAGAATCCCACCCAGACATTATTTTTTAAAAGGCATTTTTACTTTCTCTCGCTTAGAGAAAAGTCGTTTCCCTTCAAACCTCTCGGGTTTTAAAAACCTCTTATGAGTAGAAGAAGCTGCCAAGGTCCTTGCGGGGCGCAGACACGCCTGGGCTGGGCCGTGGGCGCGGGTAGGGAGCCCCGGCCTGGCTTCATTCATCAAAGGAGCCAGGGGCCAAAGTCCAGGAAGGGGGGCGGGAGAGACCT